CTTTTTTCTTTACTGCCGGCCCACTTCCCACCAATACATTCGCATTCGTGTGCAAGAGCCACACCAATGTGATCCTGGGGCATGCCTTTAAGCTGGGTGTGCTATGGGTCAGATTATACTATATCTTTAACCAGGGGATACGAAACGGATCCAAGGCAGGTTATATATCGAGAAAAATGGGACGAGAAGAACGATGGAGATGAGCTTGAATGCTTACTGTAGGACGAGCGTGCGCCAATGTGGGCTCAGCTTGGAATCAAAAATTGTCCCTCAGTGATGAGCATCGATGATATAACCATTCTCAATCGTTTCAGGAATCACGTTGAGCTGCATGATCAACTCGACTGCACTCGCAATAGAAGCCGATAATGCAGAAAGCTTGAAGTTCGTCAAATATATCTTTGGAATATTGCTAGATTTTGTAGTGAAATATTCAACCACAAAAAACCCTCTTTGCATAATTGATAGCCTCAAATTTGATTTTTGTAGAGATGAACCTCCAGTGAGTCTTCTGAACACTAACAGTTCTTCTGCGAGTTGCACGAGAGTTAAGGGAGCAAAGGTTATTGATTACGGGGTAAGTGATTCATTTGAAATAATTGGTATTTTTTCAAACCATTGTTTATGAATTTAGGGCTCATACGAATGGTCAGTGGAAACTCAAGGATACATAGTCGGCGCTGCGTTCTTAGGTAGGGCTGTTCATTTTGAAGGATTGCAACACTACTAAATGTCCTCAGCTCTCGAAATCAATGGTAATTACCCCTGACCGACAGCGAACTCGACTATACGCATGGAAGCATACTAACACAAAAATATCTTGTTTCCTAACGGTACCCTTATAACCATGCTTTAACCCTAAATGTTTGGAGCGTGGATGTGGTGCAAAGTTGGGCAATGGAGCAGAAATAAGGCCAAGCGTGCTGTTTGGTGAAACCTCCAGCCCTGCTCCTCAAGCTCCTCGACCGGGTCTCATAGCCTCCGTTTCAGTGAGTATGAACGTTTGAGTGGCGTCAGAACAGAAAGGAACTGGGGCTCAAATTGAGGGAAGATCATAACCGCATCGCCCAGAGGATCGACTTTGAGGCGAGACGATTTTTCAGGTTTGCCTACAAAACCCTACTCGTTTGGGCATCCTATTTGCGTTGTGCACAGTATTCCATGGGCACATATCCTTTTTTTGATTCATACCTTCCTTGTCTACAGATTTCCAAGCGACTAAACCTACAATCAAGGGCGGGCTGCTGGGATCACCGAAGACTTTTTTGGTTTTTGATTCCACATGCCAGGGCGAGGCCTGCTCAACTTCCCATTGGACTTTGGGTGGAGGACCTAAGTTCATCGATTGGGTCAAGATACTGGTCACAACTATGCAACGTGAACTATCCACACAAGCTGTGATCGTTAAAGTTGACGAGAAGTGCCTACCACAAAAAAGTAGGTTCTGACTCAAAGTGGTACCAAATAGCTCCTATGTAAAAACAAATGTAATATTCTGGTTTGTTTTTACATTTGTAGCTAGCGGCTTCGTCGATTTACCCAATCCAAAGTTTCATGGGAATTTGGGAGCCTTCATAAGCTAGCCGTCCTTTGGGCTTCACAAAAACGAGAAAAAAAAATGATTTATTAACCTAAACCCCTTGGAAACGAGCATTGCGGTAACAGTTTTGATATCATCAAAAAATTACGAAAGGGGAGGTTCCGCGAAAGAATTCTTATCGGAGGCAAGGAAGGAAAGGAAAAACAATATTTCACCTCTGGAAGGCCCGGTTTTCGAAGTGACCTCTACCGCTGATACGCTTTTTATAAAAAGAAAAAGGTATACTTTAGGTGGAATGCTCTCAGTTTTCCCCAGTGGAATGGCTATCGATCACTTCAGCATGAGGCACCTTCTGTTGGTGTCTGTGCTCCTGCTCTCCACTGTCAGCGTGCTTGTGCCGCTTTGCGCCGAAACCATGGGGCCGATTGCCGTGATCGTTCTGCGCTTTCTTATGGGAGTGGGTGAGGTAAGCTTTCTGGTATTGCAGAAAAACGAAGCCTTCAAAGTCAAACGTATATACGTCATATAAAATCACATTCTATCTCGGATGTGGCTTGCCGCGCTCGGAATGAAAAAGCACCTGTTACGTGGCTCATCGCTAGCAAAAAATACCGCAGAAAATCGTCAGCGCTACGCTAGATTTATATAGCAGCTTCTCGGAAATGTATCAGAGCAGCAATTAGAAATGGTCCCTTACCATCAGCTGAGGTGATGTTCACTTGGGCGGAGTCACGTTCGGGTTAGCGAAGGAGATCTTCAGCCATTGGCTCGTAGGTTTGTGCTCTCAGTTGTGGGATATCGAGGGTGACTTACAGCCAGGGTCATCCGTCACGTTCGCACTATTTGAAAGATTTTCCACCACCACCATCAGTCTTAGGAGGCTCCCCCAAGGCACCCCTTCTCTCCGCACCCTTCTGAGACCAGTCGACACAGCTCAACTCCGTTCACTTTTCTCTCTAAAGTGGCCGTTGAAGAGGGAAGGGAAGGGCTACAATGAAGCGGTAAATCCACCAATTTCGCCTAATTCTCACTAACGTCCTAAGACTTTCACGTCAAAACCCGTCCCAACAATGCCCCCTTTCAAAAACCTCCGTTCCCACTATGATAACCTTGCTCAACCCCAAAATGCGACCCCCTCCCTTCCCGAAATCACAAATGCGACCCCCTCGTTCGAATAGTGCGAACGGACGGTTGACCCTGCTTACAGCTGCGGAGCGGTTGACACACAGTAATGATTGATCCAGAAAATCCATCTTGCACGTGGCTCTATCTGGAAAGTCTGTCAGGAAATGGAGCGTTCTTTCGCTTTTTCGAAACGGATTTTTTAGGTTATGGATACACGCGCAGGGAGCATAAAACTGAGGATAATTGTTTAGTGCTTCTGTGCCACACAGATTTTTTACAGTGGAATACTTATTGAGCCTCACGTGTCGACGGACTCGTCGTTTTCAAAGGCCTCAACTCCATCAGCGTCACAGCAGGAAACGGCTTTCCTGCTGTCTCTGGAAGGCGTCGAGGGAAGCTGTTGAGCGAGAAGCGTTGACGCTGGTGGAGTTGAGACCTTTGAGGACGGCGAAGCAATGAACAACTATTGAAGATCAAAATCCCCACTTTTCAAGAAAGGCGGACATGGAAAACTGATAATTTTCCGAGCAGCCTGTGATTTAAGGAACTATGTGGGAACAACGACTTACCCGATGCCGCCATGCGACAAATTTTTTGCGTTTTTCTGATTTTCACTTTCTTGGGCTCACATGTGTCTGAATTTATTCAGTGAACAATAAGCCTCCAATTTGTAACTATTCAATCGCTTACAAATGCTGTAGAGCTGGCTAAAAGCTTCACTTCCTGAAGAAGTATTCTCTCCTTTCTCTAGCAATCCCTGGCTCACTCAGAAAAAAAAATGATATCAAGTTTTATGCTCCACTACCCTTGTCTCTATAATTTGCAAAATTCCGTTCTGGAACGAAACTGCATAAATCACAGATTGTCATTTTTAATTTTGTTGAATCTGGAACCTTTTGGCAATTCGCTGAGCCTGGGTGACTTCGTTTTAGGGCTATGATATTCCTGTAATCAATGGAATGAGCACCGGGTTGGATTCCGATTACCGTTATAAATCACCTGCTGGCAGCGTTGTATCACGTTCAAGGAAATCAACTTGCAGGTCTAACCTCGCGTTGCTTTTTTGTGACAATTTCTCAAAGTCGCGCTGTCTTCCATCTTTGGAACTGTTTGATTTGCTACCGGTAATTGCGTATAATAGCCCAGAGGTTTCAGGCATTATTAGCAATCCGGTCGCAGCAGAGTTCTCGATGCTAAGTACACGTCCGAATGCCAGCCGTCCTTTAACAGACTCTAGTGAGCGATTGTGGATTTTGAAATGCTTCCTATTTTTAGGTGTGCAGTAAGAAATGTTTCGCGTTATTACGATCACTGATGGAAATCCAGGATTACAAGTACACAGATATAAATTATCAATTAGACGATAGTCAGGTATAAATTATCGAGTTTTTGCGTTTTCCTGTCCCAAAAAAGCCGGTGAAATTTTCTCTGAAAGTTTTTTTGGATTACAAAATATTCTTAGGGTTTTCAGATAAAACCATTCTTGACTGCAGTTTGAGTGAAGATTATCGAATTTTTAGTCTGAACTCGGTTCAACCTATGCAGATGCAACCCAATAGGTACATTACAGGCTTGCTTGGATTTTTGTGGTGCGTGGTGTGGTATTTCACGGTGAACAATTCACCAGCCAATTCTAAATGGATAATGTCAGCGCATGAAATCTGCAGCTGCATTCGAAGAGAGCACATCAACAAAGCGGATGGTCAGAGGTCTGTAAAAGTCATTTTCACATCAGCTCAATTAAGTTTTTGGCGCTCGGGGGAATATCGTCTGGGGGGAATGGCAGGGGGTGAAGGGGGGACATTTAAGTGAATGAGCCAGTTACAGTCTTCAGGACTGAGCTCAAGGGAAGAGAATTGACTCTGGGGATGAGTGAGCAATTTAGTTGTCCGGGGAGAGAGAAAATCAAGATGGAGTTTTCTCGCTCCTCCCGCCCTAGTCCAATCACTTTAACCGCGTTCTTGACGGCGCCTGTGTAATGTCCCCTCCCAAGTGACGGCCAACGTTTGACCGGAGTCAAACGTTCACTCGACTGAATCGAACCGAAGGGTCGCATTTGCGTGTTGGATAGGCGGGTGCAATTTCGACGATCCGCCAAAGTTACGGCGCCGTGCGTGCGTATCCGAGGCAGAATTGCGCTTAGTGGCCGGACTGTGAATCATATGAATGTTATTATACTCAGAGAGACATCTTTAGGCAGAACAATGGATGCATCCCTATGAAAGGTTTGACTTACTTCTCGGGGCTGAAAACAAAGTTCTTTGGAGACCTATTTTTGGGGACGCTTCTTCCAATGTACTGTGAAACGTGAAGGAAGCGGAAATCTCGTAGTCTTCACAAATGTCTTTATCCTCTCCAACAAGCTTTTGAAGGAAGTTATCATTGCTGAAAGCTCAAAAACTCGCATGTGCTGCTCAAAAACCCATGGGAAAAAATGTTCGTGTGATTTTTTCTCGAAAAATGAACTTTGAGAAACGGTTTGGTGCTTGTTAGAAAGAGCAAATCCTGTACTTTCACCCCATGAAAAAAGTGCATCACAGAAATGAAAATGAAGTGAGTTATGGCCGCTGAAAGCCCAAAAACTCGCGATTTCAAAAAAAGTGTTCGGCAAAACCCCCCAAAATGTTCGAACGTGACGGTTGACCCTGGTTTTGACAGTCGTGCTACCGGGTGATCTATATTCAATCTATGTACATGATTCTTGAGATGCCATGGTTCAAAGAAACGATTTCAGGTGATTCCATGGCATGCAATGGCTCGCTCACCTCCGCTGCTGGTGGTTTTCTACTCAAGTATCATTGGAAATATGATGATCGCTATGATACTTGTATATATACCCGTATATTTCAAGGATGTACTGCTGCTCGAAGTGAAACAGGTGGGATTTGTTTGGTCTTTCGATTACTTGAATATTACCATTGGCATTCTTGTTCAGCTCAATTATAATCTATCAGCATCATAGCACCATAGTCACATTTCAGAGCGTCTCCTCACGAGTCACTGCAACAGTTCCCCCGTTTTTTTCCAAAACCCCTTTGCATAACCTCTTTTCCAGAACGGCTTCTATACGGCACTGCCGCACACATGCAATCTGATATCGAAACTTATTTGGGGATTTCTTATGGACTATCTGAAGAAGAGAAAAGTGTTCACCGCTACTCAGACCGTCAAACTATCGCAAGTTCTGTGTAAGTTTCTAAGTGGAATACTATTTATTTAACCTATTTTTGTGCAACATCCTGTGCGAAGGAGGCGATGAAAAGTCACAAGTTCATGGGATGCGCCATATTTCAAGTCAGTACTTTTGGAAATGTAGGAGCAATTGATTGCATATTTCTAGTGCACGATGAATTGTGGGAACCACAAAATATTCACGTTTGCGTATTTATTATATATAACTCACGTCAGCTACAGTAGCGGTCAAAAGTGTTCGCCAAAACGATTTTCAGCGCATTATTTTTTCTCGCTTGAGCAATGCCCTCCAAATATTGATATAGTATGTTTTCTAGTTTTCTCGCACAAGGCTTGATTGAGTTCGACCTAGAGTCAACGGTCCGTTTGTGCAGTTCGAACGGGAGAGGGCTGGGGTGATCGCAGTTGCGGGTTCAGAGGGAGCCACATTTGTATGTGACCTCTTCGGGTGTGGAGATGGGGTCGCATCGGGGCTTCCTGGAGAAGGAGAGCGGTCGTAAAAGTCAGAAAGCTACAATGTCAACGACAATAAGGAGCTTTTATAATAGCTTTATATAAAATACTTTTTGATGAGAAGCGGCCAATTCAGTTTCAAATGAGCGGAGATGCTAAACCCGAACCGAAATCTGGATATTTTTGCTTGAACCTAGAGAGCGAGAGATGAGGTAGAGAAGGAACTCCAGAGATGTGGCGGTCCACAGACCACCATCGAAGATCTG